ACAGACACAGACAGAGTCAGAGAGGACAAAGAGAGAGAGAATGACAAAGAGAGAGAGAGACATAGACAGAGTCAGAGATGGAGAAAGAGAGAGACACAGAGTGACAGAGAAACAGATATGTTGGCATAAAGAAAGGCACACAGAGTAGCATGAACACAGCACAAATACACGAAAGGAGAGAGACAGAAAGAGACAGAGAAGCTAAGAGAAAAGAGATAAAGAGCAACTGTGAAAGAGGGACAGAACAACAGACATAAGGAGAAAAAGACAATAAGAAAGGGAAAGAGAGACAGCAGATAGATAACAAGAGAAAGAGAGGAAGAAAGACAGAAACATAGAGATGGAGTTTGCTAGTGAGAGAGAGAGGGAAAGACAGAGAGACAGAGAAAGACGGTGAGGGACAAAGAGAGATATACTGATGTACATAGAGAAAGAGACAGAGCAAAGAAAGAGTGGGGCAGAGAGAAAAGAAACTGAGACAAAGAGATAGAGAGAGACAGAAAGACTGATAGACAGAAACAGACATATAGGCACAGAAAGAGGTAGAGCTCTACCTAAATATCTGAGTTTCCATGGCATCATGCTCTCTTAGATTATTTACAGCTCAAGGGGAATTGTGTTGATTGGGAAAGTATGTGGCTTCTGTACCTGAGAATGGTGTGAGAGAGACTGAAAGGGAGAGAGAGACAGAAAGAGACATTGTGAGAGAGACTGTGGCAGAGACAGAAGCACAGCCCAAGACAAGACCGAGACCGAGACCGAGACAGAGACACAGAGTAAAAGACACACAGATAGGTTCACAGACAGAAAGGCATACAGACAGCCACAAAAACAGAAGAGACAAACAGAAAGAATGACAGAGTTAGAGACAGACAGAGACAGAGAAAAAAGAGATAGAGCAATTGAGAAAGAGGAGTGGGCTATAGACATGAGAAGAAGAGACTGAATGACAGACTGGGATCGACACAAAAAGCAAATAGAGAAAGAGACACTACACAGGGAGAAAAAAGACAGAGATAGGAGGTAGAGATTCATAGGGAGAGAGATAAGGAAAAGCAGAGAGATAGAGAAAGAGGGTGACAGAAAGGGAGACATAGAGAAGGAAATAGAAAGAGACACACACAGAGAGAAAGTGAGGTGCAGACAGAAAGAGAAAGATACAGAGAAAGAGATAGAGATATACAGAAAGACTGAAGGACAGAAAGACAGACAGACATATAAATAGAGAGAGAGGCATAGCTATTGACACAGACCTGAAATTCCATGATATCAGGCTCACTTAAAAGATTTGGCAGCTCAAAGGGGTTTGTGTTAGTTTAGATGGTGTGTGGTGCCTGTATCTGAGGAGGATGTGAATTAGACTGAGGCCTACGTCTCCCAGGTCCATACAGGTCACAGGGCCATATGACTGTGACACAAAAGTGAAGCTGGCTTGCTATGACATCTGCAGAAAGAGGCATCGGAGACAGGGCCACATGTCAGTGTCGATCAGCCGGATGGAAGAGCTGATGCTGAAGGGAACATTAAGGAACATTTCCTTAAGAGGCATGAGGAAGACATACCTGAGATTCAGTGACCAGGCCATTTAGGAAACTTCAAAGAGGCAGCTGAAGGCCACCATGACAGGAAATATCTTCCACAATAGCCCAGCATGGAAGACAAATTACACCACACATTACCAAGCAAAATGAAACATTGGAGACCCTCTGGGTGATGCATGGCCATGGAGTAGGTGAAGAAGCTCATGCAAATGATATATGGAATGCGACACAATCTGCCCTGACACATCACTGGCTGCACTGCAAGAATCAAGTCTTTATGCCATTCTCGACTTGGTTGTCATCTTTGTGAAACAACCACATAAAGGGCACACTCTCATGAATGATTTTCCTCATGAGACCAATGCTGTGTAGCTGTGCCTGTGTCTACTCACTGGTTGTCCTCTATCCACGACACCTCCTAGGGCCCACTCTTCACTCTGTTATCTAAGGCAAATGACCATCTCATCAGAAACCAAACTAGACACACGCTAGAATCTTTGGACGCAGCTTCTGTCTGATTTGCCGAGTATCCTCACCAGACCTACCAATGAGAGGGTCACAATAACATCAAAGAGAAGTATGGGCATCTCAGCAAGACCTGCTGAACTCTGTGCTTTTACATGGGGACAATACACAGCTGGCACTGAGTCAACCATGTCCTCGCACAGTAGAGCTCACCCAATTGAGCAGGAGATCCTCCAGCCCAGAAACACAGCAGGCTGAGTCACGAGAAATTCCCTTGAGGGCTGATGATGCAGAGGCTGGTGACAGGACGCCATGATCCTGAAATTTCTGCTAGAGGCAGCATGCTGGACCTCAGACATTATAAGCAGAATGATTTAGAGTTTTCAGCCATTTTGTTCAGCTTTTCCAAGGAATGTTTTTGGGTGTCATCATCAATCCAAGCACTCACCCAAACACGGCTGAGTCCCCGTGCAAGCTCTCATTCTAGAAGACCTTGAAGGTTCAAAGACACTGAGGGGTTGAAAATGCTCCACATGCACGAGGATCATACAAATGCTAGGGGAGATGTGAGCCCACACCCATGAATGTCCAAGAGACTCACGAGGTCTTCAGGAGAGGTCTCCAATCTGAAAGAGCAAATGCTAACCACCTTCATGCGTGAAGGTCTCAGCCTTCTCAGGAAGACATCGGGGCAGTAAGGCGCTGAGGTTGCTGGGCTCCAGAGGCATCAAACATTCATAGCCAACAATTATGTCATGGGGATACACACAAAAAAATCATGGGTCAGCCCAGCGCATGGGACCTGCTGCACTGACCATACACTCTTCCTGGCTATGTCTCAACTGACCTCCTGAAATCCCTTTGGGATGCCTACACAACCCACCTAAGACTGGGTTAACCTCTGTGGTGCTCAGGGCACACATGGATATTCTTTATTTCTTATATTTCATCTTCATACTTTTCTACTGGATGGTTAAGACCAAGGTAAAGCAGGACCTATGCAACAAGAGTTGTAGCTTTTTGGTCTGAGAAGGT